GGTTTGAAGAAAGGTTATGAACAGGAAGCTCTAAGGGTCCCATTCTGGGTCCATGTGGGGTGAGAAGGGCATTGCCCAGTGACTCGATTCCATCTCCAGAGCATCCTCCCTTTGTTCTTTCCACCATGAGGCTGCTGTCATTGCTCTGAGGCCTTCAGGGTTCCTTCAACCTCTCCTTATGAGAATCGGGAAGTGGGCTTTGATGTCTACTATCAGCAGCAGTAGATTAGTGTTTTAAGCCAAGTCTCAAACTGAGGTCCTCTCTCATTCTGGTTTCTCCCTCAGGCTGTAGGCAGAGCAATCTAGGGGAACAGAGAGAGCCCATCAAAGGTCTATATCACTCATGGGCCATCCAGGCCACTGGTCTGTGCTACTGATGGGGACATCAAGGTCCAAGGAGGTGATGCCAAGTGGTTACTCAGCTTCCTAGAAGATTAAGTGACTTTTCATGGCCCAAGAACTGCAGGAGTCAGCCCATTCTCTCTGATCTTCCTATGGCTCCTCATTTCCTACTCCCTCCTCCCTACATGTCAGAGCCCATTCCTTGGAGGCAGGAAATCTGGGCTCAAGTTTCAGCTGTGCTTCTTCTCAGCCCTGTGGTATTTGACAATTCTTCCTACCTTGCAGAGCCTCAGTTTCCTCATCTACGAAATAAGAGTAATTGCATTATTAGGTAATGGCTGCAAAGCATGTAGCCCAGGGTCTGATACCTACAAGGCATTCCATAAATGAAAGCTAATATCACTGTTTCCTGACATATTCATTTTTCCAAGAGTGTAGGCCCTGTACATTACGAGATGCCTGAGATAATCAGAGATGGTACATAGATGGAACAGCAAATAGAAAATATGCAATTAGGAAGCCATGTCCTCCACAGTTCTGTTTCAGTATTGATTTTGTAGAAAAGATAGACTCAGTTTGGTGATAGCATGTTTCATATATACGTGTATACATGTATACATATATATACATGTTAGTTTATTTTTTTATTTTTTGAAGAAGATTGGCCCTGCGCTGACATCTGTTGCCAATCTTCCTCTTTTTCTTTTTTCTCCCCAAAGCCCCAGTACATGGTTGTATATCCTAGTTGTAGGTCCTTCTAGTTCTTCTATGCAGGATGCTGCCTCAGCATGGCTTGATGAGCGGTGAGTAGGTCCATGCCCAGGATCCGAACTGGTGAACCCTGGGCCGCCGAAGCAGAACGCACGAACTTAACTGCTATGCCACTGGGCCGGCCCCCTGTTAATTTCTCTTTTTGACAAGGAGAGAACACCTTGCCCCCTGCTTAATGATAGATAATTACATTGAGCTCAGTCTGGTAAACTCAGTCCTATTCAATAATTTGAATAGTCTCTTTAAGTAACATAAGCTTTTTCAAATAAATGTGTAGCCTCTCAGATTTGCTTCCCATCCTCCCCTCTCTGGCTATAAGAGTTGGGGGAAGCTTATATGACCACACTAGTGGAGGGGCAGAGGGAGCCTGGATCCACTTGCAAAGGTCTTTGTGTTGTTGTGGTCTCCATAGCAACTTCCCTCTGCACAAGGCTCCTGGGAGGATGGTGAATTCTAACATGGTGAGCTCATGGTCTGTCCTCTCACCTTGGTCAAAGCCCATCAGTCCTCCCCTGCTGACTCAGTGCCCCACCTCAGCCCTGTTCAGCACCCAGCATTGTGCTCAACCAGGTTAGGTTGTGGTTCCACTTTGTTTTCAAGTCCAGGAGGCACCTCTATAGGCCCGTTGTTCTCCTCCCCATCCAGCTTCCAGCCAGTTTCTCAATCACATCTGAGTTCCCTTCAAGGCCATGTCTGGAGCATCATCTGAGATCTCTCTTTGCCCAACCTCTTCTATTGTGTTGTGGCTGCTGCAGTCTGGTTCAGAGATGTGGGGCACACCAGTGGCAGCCTCCTCCTGGGGAACCAAGGCTGCCTTGAGCCTCCCCTTTCTAGCACAACTCCCACTTTGAGACTTAAGTCTCAAAGTGGGACTAAGGGGGGCCGGCCCTGTGGCTTAGCGGTTAAGTGCGCATGCTCCGCTACTGGCGGTGCAGGTTCGGATCCCAGGCGTGCACGACGCACTGCTTCTCTGGCCAAGCTGAGGCCACATCCCACATACAGCAATTAGAAGGATGTGCAGCTATGACATACAACTATCTACTGGGGCTTTGGGGGGAAAAACAAATAAAGGAGGAGGACTGGCAACAGATGTTAGCTCAGAGGCGGTCTTCCTCAGCAAAAAGAGGAGGATTGGCATGGATGTTAGCTCAGGGCTGATCTTCCTCGAGGAAAAAAAAAAAAGTTGATAAAAGGGGGACCAAGGGAACCTTGTGTCATCCCCTGCTTTCCCCTGCTTTCTCTGTTCTCTTCTCCTTCCCAAGATCCACAGTGTAGGAGGGGCAGATTCTGGACTCTGTCCTGTCTATTTTGTGGTCCTCTACACCATAGCCTTCTAGTTCACCATAATGGTTGCCAGGGGTAGGAGGAAAGATTTTGTGGTATAGAAATGCAAAGTATGCTAGTTTACTCTTTTCAAAACACTATCTCCATTGCATTAGATATATAAATGTTTCTTTGATAATGAATAGTTTTTAAAAGGTCAATTTAAAGAAAAATATTAAGTGAATTGATAGTCAGGTTAGTAGTGGGAATGGTACAAATTGTGAAGCTGAATTTGGGGAGACACTAGGATACGTGGAAGAAGCTGTAATGGGCACATAAGTCGAAGAGACCTCCTCAAGGAGGAAGGCAGTCATGGATACAACCAACGAGGGACGGGGAGGGACTGGACAAACAAAGCACTGAGGAGCTCAGGAGAACCTAGGAATGGTTCTTGGAAGAGGTGGCCATTGAACGGGGCTTTAAAGGGTTAGAAGGTGGAGAAGAAGGATGTCCAGAGTGTGTGTCGGGGGAGAGATGTGACAGTAAGATAGCTCATGTGAAGGAACTTTCAAGACTGTTGAACGAGTGGTGGTACAGGGAATTAATATTATTTCTGATTGGATGGAGGGATTTGTTCAAAGCCACCCTTGATTCTGAGGAAGAATCAAGCTAGAACCCAGGTCTCTGTAAAGGGTACAAGGCCACGGCAATAGCATACAGCTGCTTAGGGGCCACAAGAGGAAGGGCCCACTTGGAAAGGCAGAGAAGAGTCATATTCTGCTTGACAGCTTTTTAAATAGTGTATGCATGAGTCTTAGCAAGCAAGGCTTAGATTCCAATCTTACAAAGGCTATTGACCACCTACTATACGGCCTGGACGTAAGCTAAGCTCTTTGATATCCAAAAGGCTATAAGTCTTTGAATCTACCAATAACAAACCTGCCTGTAAACATGAATTAAGATATTTGTCAACCTAATGTTCTAAATGAGTAAACCCCGCAGTCAAGCTGGAAACATTTTAGAAATTCTTACCCTATCTCCCACTCACTTCCCAGGATTTATGGTCACCTCACGTCCTCACATCCATATGTCTGGTATAGGCAGTCCCTTTCTTCCATACCCACAGTCCACAGTTCTCAGCCATCATCATATAGAAGGACTGCTGTCCACAGTTGTTCACTGGATTTCAGGGACGATTTGAGAGATTTTTCAAGTCTTAGTTGAATCGTAAGTGATTTTTTCTGAATTAAGATTCAAACACTCACATAAGACGCCACTGCAGTCCTCTTTCTTTAATTCCTGGCGCTGTCAGTGGCGTATCCCATTTAAATGAAGTTCTATAACAGGCAAAACTAAACTATGGTCGCATAAATCAGAACAGTAGCTGTGGGTCAGGAAGGATTTACTAGAAAGTTGCAAGGAAATGTTATTAATCTCGATTGGGGTAGTGGTTACACAGGTGTATACATTTGTTAAAAACAACAACAAAACCCAGCTCATTGACCTATACATTTAAATTACATGCATTTTATTGTGTATACTTCAATAAAGCTGATTATTTGAAATCTCTGTAGGAAAAAAAAAAAAGAAATGGAGCTGGAGTTGGGGAGAGAGAGATTATTTACTGAGGGACTTCAAATCTGCGAAGGTTTAAGGAACACCTGCCTTGAGCAGAGTGCATCAGGCAGACCCTTGCTCTGAGCTTGAGGAAGACTTTCCCAGCTTGTCGTGCAGTTCTGTATCCAGCAGACACATAATACCTGTTTGTGCCTCCCCTGCCACTCAGGAAGTGACTACTCTGGGAAATCTCCTGTGCATTATATTTAACTTCCCAAACCCACTACTGATGTTGTTAAATTCCTGCGCCCACATCCCCAGGGGGCAGGGCAGAAGGAGGCATTTTCAATAAGTGCCCCAGATAATTCTGGCTCCACCAGCCCAGCCCCAAGCATTTGGGAAACCCCATCCTAGGCCCTTTACCCTAAGTGAGGTGGTGCTTCTGGGTCCTGAGCCAGATCTTCCGTGACCCAGCAGCACTGCAACGAGAACGTAGAACGCTGAAAACAGGCTCCAACAGAACCACTTACAGTAACTTCACGCTTTTGCTTCCTCATATTTACACTGGGGGGGACCTGGGTCTAGATCGGAATTGTGGAGGCTTCACCCACGGCACAACTCAAGCCGGTGGAAATGCTGCATTGGGCTCACATCGTGATTTTTAAAAATTGAGGCCACATCTAAAAATCGAGAGAGATCGCAGACCTCTGGTTTGGTGTACTTACGTTGTCACAAGCCAAATGTTTACTGGCGTTGAGAAGTCGTTTGCCCTTTAGACAGAGCATGTACTGTCCAGTTTTCCATAGTCCTCACCACTCCCCATTAATCTCTCCTGACCTGCTTAGTTCGCTGTTGTTTGCTGCCTCCTGGCCCCCGCAGGCATCTGAATTGAGGCCTCGGACTTATCTGATCCCAAACATCCTTTCTACCATCCTATGACCCCAAAGCCTCACAAATTATCTTTCTCCAGCTCAAGAGTTAATCATCAGCTTCTTCTTATGTAAATCAGAACAGGAAAGTCTTGCTAGGCCAAGTCTTCTGAAAATCTTGGCTTGACGCTGTTCTTCACCAAGCCTGCATCCTGTGTCTGCCTGCTCAACATTTGTCTACAGACAGGAAGACCTTTCTTGTCCCTGACCGAAGCTCTCTGAGGCCGGCAGCGGCTGTGGATGTCCAGGGAGTTCAGGCGGGTCAGCCAGATGAGTGGGGAGTGGGTGCACCCAGGCCGGACCCTGATCTGGGCTCTTTGGGTTGTTGCAGCTGCCATCGAGGGTGAGACACCCAGTGGGAGAGGAGGGTTCTCAGAAGATGGGGTGGGGGGACTTCCCAACTTGAAGGATTTTCCACTGGTAGAAATGAATTTATTTCTCAGAGGTCTCTGAGGGCCCATGGAGGGCTGTGAGTAGCCTCAGGACGCCTGACCAATGTCTTGGTGTTGCTGAAATCCCCAGGGACAGAGTCTCCTTCTTGGGCGCAGGTGAAGCACAGAAGACCCTGGTTCTGCCCCTGACTTGTTTGCAGTCTGTGGGAGGCTCAGAGACCCCTCTGTCCTGGGCACTGGGGAGGGGTATAGGGGAGGATCCCGTGCTTCTGTAGAGCTGGCTGCCCTGTAGGACCTGCACTATTGAAATGACATTAGAACAGGTAGTGCCAAGACACCTGGGTCTTGCTAACTAAATAGCTGGGCGGTTAACTTCTCAAGGCTCCATATTCTGTATGGAAACCCAGAAGCTCACACGTTCAGTCTCAAAAGTATCATCCTCAGACTCCTGGAGGTGGACGAGCTGACTTCATGTGGCATCCGCATGAGAACTTTTTATTTTCATTGCTTTCTATTTATTTTCATGTGTATTCAAAATCATATACCTAACTCATCAAAACCACAATTGCATATATATTATTGCTTAGGATTCCTCTAGGTAAAGTTTTAACAATTTATTTCATGTAATTTTAAGAAAAATAAAAAGCCAATAGTCATATAGTGGATGCACAGACATGCTAGCAATTGTGCTGGTGAGCATGAAAATGACTGAGATTCTGGGCCCAAAGTGGGAAACTCTGGGCCAGACGATTTTGTGCAGTCCTAGGGTCTGTAGAGCCTGGATGTATCAATTCTACAGTAATTTGGGTTCCCAAATTAGTGGGGAAAATTTTGTGGCTTGGTGCTGTGCACCTGGGAGAAACCAAGTCGGTGCTCTGGTGCAGGTGACTTCTAAGGCCATCTTGCAGGAAGCAGTGGGCATGGGTTCTTTGATAAGGAACCCAGATACTTCTTGTTGCACCACCTCTGGGCTGAGAAAGAGCGCCCTCACTGGGGGGAGCTCCGAGTTCGGCTTATTCCCAGCCTCTTCCCAGCCAGCCCCTGATTCCTTCCCTTGTGTTCCCTCAGGGCCAGCTGCAGAGGCACCAGTGAGAAACACCAGGCTGGGATGGGTCCGAGGAAAGCAAGCCACTGTGCTGGGAAGCACCGTGCCTGTGAATGTGTTCCTCGGGGTCCCCTATGCTGCACCCCCTTTAGGACCCCTGCGATTTGCGAAACCAAAGCCTGCTTTGCCCTGGAATGACTTCCGAGATGCCACATCCTACCCTAAATTGTAAGACCAGGCTTGGTGCCATGGGTGGCCTGCGACTAGGAGTGGGGACAGAGAATTGAGGGAGAGTAAAGGTCATGCAACCCAATGGGAAGGGAGGGGGTGTGCGCTGGGGAGGAGAAGGGGAGGCTACAGCACGGGACCAGTGCTTCAGCGATTGCATGGCTCCAGTTAGCCGATCAGCGGAGTCTCTGGAGGCATTATTCAGAACATGCAGATTCTCTGGCCTCAGTTCCGTACTTCCTAAATCACAGTCTCCAGAGCTGGACCCAGGAAACTGGATTGTCTGAAAGTTCTCTAGGGATTCTGAGGACCAGTCAGGTTTGGGAACCACTGAGATGGGCTTACTGAGTCTGACTGTCAAGGTGTTTCTGTGTAACCTCTCACCCAGGCTTAGTCTCCAAGGTCAGACTGGAAGGGCTTTAGAGGAAAGAACCACACTAGAGGGATTTTAGCTCTAGCAGTCAACACTGTGCCTAATGCAGGGTCTGGCCCAGAGTGAGAAACCCATAAATACCTGTGGAATGAATGCACGAGTGTGTCTCTGTGACGCAGGAGGACTGGGAGGTAAGGAGCTCCCAGTCACTGCAAATTTTCAAGCTTAGGTGGGCAACCAGTGTCCAGATGAATTGTGGAGGGTCCTTGTGGATTGGGTGGGAGGTGAGATTTGGAAATCCACAAGAATCTTCTGACTGTTCAGATTCTGTGAAGCCATCAGGTTGGTCACATTGGTTCCTGGCATTGGAGTCCCAGGCAGAAGGAATACCCTGGTGCCAGGAAGCTCCCTAAACCACAGAAGAAGACCCCATGTGGCCCGGGCACTGAGGACACTAAGCCAAAACTCATCTGTTCATTCATTGTTTCATTCAAATAATACCCATTGAGAACCAACTCAATAACTGACTCTCCATTAGGCCCTGAGGGACACCACAGTGGGTTAGACACAGCTGCCCTCAAGGAACTTGTAGATGGAGAGTGGTGGTGGGGACACAAGCAATAATGACAATTAAAATGTAGAATGACAAGGGCAATCGTTAGGGGGTCAGAGAAGGGTGCTGAGGAAGAGCCCCCTAGCCTCACCTTGAGGGGATGTTGGGGATGGTTCTGTCGAAAGCATGAGGCCTTGATTTCTGATAAACGACATACAAAGGGGCAAAAAGGCATAAACACTTGTCAGGGGGTAGATGTGCATTGATGGTTTCCTGCTGCCCAATCTGTACATCATTCTATTAAAAAAACCAACTAACATTAATTGAGCACTTAGTAGAAATATTCACATATATAATCTCACTTACTGTGTGTCAGGCTCAGTGCTAGGGCCTATGAGGTACCGAGGTGACTAATACAGAGTCCGAGGCTTTTTAGCTGCTCACAGTTGAGTTGGGGAAGATGATAATACTCATGTACAATCCTAGCAGAAGTTCTAGGAAAGAACATAAAATATGTAGGTGTTTTCAAAGAAGAGCTATAGTCTAACTGGAGAAATCTCAGACGGCTTCTTGGAGGAGGTGGCACTTGGACTGAATCTGAAAGAAAGGGAAGCACCTGAGCAAGCAGATGTGGGAAGAGAGCAGTCTGGGCAGAGGGACCACTTGGGCAAAGGCTTGGATGCAGGACTCTCCCTGAACGCCTACCTCAGTTGGTTCCTGGTGGAGAGGCCTAGAAATGTCCTTTTGTTCCTCTGGGGGCAGAAGAGGGAGGTGCCAGAGCAAAACCCCTGATATGCAACCCAACGTCAAACCCTCTGCAGTTTGGGGAATTGCTGAGCGAGCTTGAGACTCTGTGTGTGTGTCTGGATTATGGTGGTGGGTGTAGGCATGGGTGGGTGCTGGGAGTTAAGGGTACAATTATTCTGCACAATGTATTTTCCTACCTAGGAAGCTGATCAAACAGAATTATAGTTTGTTTGTTGGTTTGGGCCACCACGGGGTGGGGTGGGGCATAATTAGACTTTGTACCAATAGCTCCCATATGCCTCTTCTGCTCAGGCACAGGAGACCGCCAGGCCTCCCTGCTGTCACAGGAACTGGCCCCTCCCAGGCAAGTTGGCTGACAGCAACTCTGGGGTTTCTCCTCCCCTCTTCCAAGGTGCCTCCAGAAGGCAGAGTGGCTGCTCTCGGATCAACACACTCTCAAGGTGCATTACCCCAAATTCGAAGTGTCGGAAGACTGCCTGTACCTTAACATCTATGCGCCGGCCCACGCGGACTCTGGCTCCAAGCTCCCCGTAAGGATGCCTGCCGTGCTGGGGGCTCCAGCTAGCAGCTTCTTGGCCTGGGGTCCAGGCCGAGTGGCTGGGTGTCTGGGATCGGACCTAGCCCTGTTGGGAAAAAGGGACGTGTAATCACTTGACATGCCAATAATTTTCTTAAAAAGCCATTCTAATGACAGATTCGCTGCATCTTCTCTGCTGATCACTTCTTTATTGGCAGTGACTTGACTTTTGATTTTTACTTTGTTTTGTTTTTCCCCTCCGTTGAGTATTCAGTGGTCCGGAAACATTTAGCAAAGACACTGCTTAAAGGACTCTGATTTTTTTTTTTTGTTGGGGAAATCCTTTTTTAAAGAGGATAATTAGATTCTCCAAATTTTCTGTTTACAATGAAGACAGGTAATAATGTGAAGTATTTCATTTAAGAACGCAAAGGTCCCTGTATAAGTGAGTAGGAAAGGTACAGTCTACCATCTAATTTTAAGCACACCCTCTCATCATCCTCTCTCTCCATGCCACTGCAATGGGAGGCTGGCTCTATGTATTGTAACAGCAACATCTATCGAGCACAGACTATGTGCCAGGCACAGTACATTATCTCCTCTACCCCCGATAATCACCTGGAGGGTAAGGATCATTGTATCCATTCTACAGGTGAAGATGAGGACAGGGAGGGCATAAGCGACTTGTTGCATGTTGTATGCACAGTAAGTGGCAGATCCTGGTGCCAAAGACAATGCTTTTTCCAGTTATCCTTTTCCCTCAGTGGCTTTCTTCTCTTTTCCTGCCCCAAGTGCTGTAGTCCCTAATATGACCTTAAAAAAGAGAATGGAAGGGATTTATTATTAACATATCAATAGTGATAATACCATTTGAACAATGTTTTATGTTCCCCGGTCCCAATTTTTCTAATCAATAAAGTAAAATTTCCACACTTTTCCTTTTTTCTCTCTCCTCTCTTCTCTTCTGTCTGTAGGTAGGAAAAAGCCTTAGATTAAAACAGCTTAAGATGCTTTTGCTCTCATACATGGCTTACAAAGATTTCCATCTTCCTGTGGGTCACAAGTTCAATGATATTTAGTTAACCTTTTCTGAGCACTTGAAATATGCCAATATTGTTCTATGAACTTTAGACACAGAACCTTTTTTAAACTTCATGATAATCTCATAAATGAGATACTTTCATCTTTCACTTCTTTGAGATGAGATAAAGGAGCCTCAGAGAGGCTAAATAACCTGTCCAAGGTCATACAGCTAGTCAGTGGCAGAGCTGGGAATCAAACCCAGGCACTCAGATGCCAGAGCCCACATGCTTACCCCTGGGACTTCTTCAAAAGACAAAACCTCTGATGCTATTTAGGAAGGAAAGTGAGACATTTATATTTCCCTAAAGAAAGAAGGTCCCAGCATGCATGGGGAGGGGATGTGGGTGCCCGGCGGGCTGGCTGGAGAGTTCCTTTCCCCTCCTTAGGTCATGGTGTGGCTCCCTGGGGGTGCCTTTCAGAGCGGCTCAGCCTCCATCTTCGATGGGTCTGCCCTGGCCGCCTACGAGGATGTGCTGGTCGTAACCATCCAGTACCGGCTAGGGATGCTTGGCTTCTTCAAGTGAGTATCCCCAAGTGATTGACACTCCTGATCTCCAAGGGGCAGCTGGGAAGCAGCCACAGGGATTCGCTGCCCAGTAACTAAGGAGGAATGAGCCTTTAGTGACATTGAACAACTTTGGCCCAAATTATCTAATTTTAGCAGCAATAACAGATAAATCTCCAGGTCTTAGTGGCTTAAAACAATAATGTCTCTTTCTCAGTAAAGTCAAGTCCAATTGAGTGTTGCTGACTGACAGACATCCTTCCACATGATCAATCAGGGACCCAAGCTCCTTCCATCTTGTGGCTCTGTCCTCCTGGAGGGCCCTGGACCCTCTGCATTTGGCCAGCAGGTTGAGAAAGAGCGCAGAGGATCATGTGAGGGAGGTCTTTCTGGGTCAGCCTGGAGGTGGCCTTCATCATTTCTGTTCACATACTGTTAGCAGAGCTCAGTCGTGTGGCCACACCCAACTGCAAGGGAGATGGGGAAATGTAACCCAGCTGTGCGTCCTAGAAGATGAGGACACAGTGTGCGAGCAGTTAGTAGTCTCTGCCATAGGGCCCCACCTCAAGGCTCCTCAAATGCTCACCGGACAGTAATCACTCCATTGCATAGGCTTCCCTCCCTCCAATAATATCTGACATATAGTATACTGGGTGCTTGCTATGAGCCAGGTACAGTTCTGTGCACTCGCCATGCACTATTTCAGCTCACCCTCAGAATAATCTTATGAGAAACATACTGTTGTCATTCTCCCTTTACAGTTGAAAAACGGACGCACAGAGAAATGAAGAATTTCCCAGAGGTCACAGGACAGAGCTGGGGCTCTTGGCCACTTCTATTATCCTACTTAGAGCATGGCAGAACCTGAGCCCTGGCCAGGGTGCGATGTGAGCCAAGAGGAGTATTGAGGGGCCACTGTCAGATACTGTGGGGAAGGCAGCAACGAGTCCAACGTGAATTCTTCCCTCGAGAGGCTTTCAGTGTCATGAGGGAGAGAACACAGAGACATAAGTACCAGTGCTACCAGGTGGGACATGATTAATGCTCTGAGAGTGTGAGGCAGGGGGGCAGTAGAAACAGAGGAGGGAGCTATAAGGAATCAGGGAGGCTTCATGAGAGAGGTGGCATTTGAATTGCACCTTAAAGATGAAGTTGGGTTTGGGGAGGAGGGGTTGGGTGAGAGCATACTTGGCAAAGAGGGCTGCTTGAGCAAAGGCTAGGAGGCAGGAAGGAAATGTAGCAGCACGTAGGCCTGGAGCAATATTTGCAAACTGTATTTTCAGCCTGTAGAAGTGGGAGGTGGCTCTGGGGCTGCAGTGGAGGCAAGGAGGGCTGAGAGGGGGGCCCTGACCAGAGCGATTACACTTTTAGCTGCTCTGTGCATTGGGATTCTGCATAAGATTCCTTTGGCAGAAAGGTTTCCAAAGATTGTTTATAGTATCGGGGTTCCAGTAGGCAGGTAGATGAGGATACAGCAGGAGATGGATGTGGAAAGGCAGGAACAGGCCAGATTGGGAAAGGCCTTGAATGCCGGGCTGTGCATGGAGGCTGGGCTTTTTCCAAAACAGAGTGAGGGACCCAGGAATGCCCCGCAGAGGAGGATAGCAACAAGGTCACTCCGGAGCAGAGTGGAGGCTGGGCTAGGGGTGCCTGGGCTGCAGATGGGGAGGCTACTGCACAGTCTTGATGCAGGCCGTGGAGTGAAGCAGGGTGGTGGCTGAATAACTAGAGTGATGGCTCACAAGTACACGGTGCTTATGTGGGCCAGCACTGTCACTCTTCGTGACAACTGTGCCAAGCAGCCACCATCATTATCCTCATTTTAGACATGAGAACATTCAGGAAAAGCAGGTTAAGTGACTTGCCCAAGGTCATCCAGATCATAAGTGACCAGGTTATGAATCAAGATAAATAGAAATGGAGAAATGGGGACCTATGTGGGAGCCACGATGGAATGGAGGTAAAATTGGCAGGGCTTGGCTCCTGCAGGTTTGGGGGTCGTAGAAGAGAGAAGGCAGAGTTAGAGCCAGCCCAGGGGTCATGGGCTCAGGGGAGGTGTAGTGGGAGGGCTGGAGGATAGAGGGACGTAGGATAGATCCCGGGATTACTCACATACATGGTGTATACCACAGGGATGTTTTGGTCTGGGCATTTCTTTGGTTCTGTTGTATTTTCCCTTATTTCCCCATTAACTGCTCACCCCTCCTGGGAAACATGCTATTCTGTAGGGGCATGGGGGCATGGTTAGGATCATGGACTCTGGGCTAGACTTGTTGGGTTTGAGTCCCAAATCTGCAGCTTTCTAGCTCTGGGGCAAGGGATTTAACCTCTCTGTGCCTCGACTTCCTGTCTGTAAGAAGGAGACTGTGTATCCTTCAGTGTCCTTAGGGCGTGCTCACAGATTTCATTGATGGGGGTGGCGTGAGCTATGGCCATGGAGAAACGTAGCCACCGCGCAGACCACTTCCCAGCAGAGAGGGGGCATATGGAGTGATGGAATAAACTTCCCAGTCTCTGGATATCCCACCCTGAAGCCCCCAGGCATTGCCTCCCACTGATCACACACAGCTGGAAGCATGGGTGATGCAGTTCATGGAGCTCAGCCTTTTGGGAGCAGGACAGAGAAGGGTGGAGAGAGGACCTAGGCGGAGAAGGAGAAAAACTAGCACCACTGACTTCTCAGGTTGGGAGGATCATAGGACAATCAGTCCTAAAGCCCTTAGGACAGTGTTGTGCATGGTGCTGCCACTGCTGCTGTTATTATCTTTATTATTCATTTAGTCATTCATTGGAACCTCTGTACCCAGCGAGGTCTGGCTCCTTGGTGCAGACCAACTCTTAGGAGAAGGACTCTTCTGGAATCCATGGATTCAGGGGAGCCTATGAATATCCTGAAATAGCACATACAAGATTGTCTGTGCATTTTTCTGGGGTGCATAGCTTTCATCAGATTCTCAAAGAAACCCAAATCCCAACAGAGAGTGAGAACTAAGCCCAGTTTTCCTGGCTTCCTGGGCCTCGCACTCTCGGCTTCTCCCCAGCAGGAATGGGGATGCCCTGACACGAGCCCATAGCCTCCACCACCAACTCCATGGGCAATGGGAAGCAGATGGTGGCCGACTGAGCATTCTCACCCTGCCTCTTGCCCCCAGCACAGGGAACCAGCATGCTCCAGGGAACTGGGCCTTCCTGGACCAGATGGCCGCCTTAACCTGGGTCCAGGAGAACATCGAGTTCTTCGGTGGGGACCCACACTCTGTGACCATCTTTGGAGAGTCAGCGGGAGCCATAAGTGTTTCTAGCCTTGTGAGTTCTTCTCTTTGAGACTTGAAGGAACCTCGGTGGGGGAGGTTGAAAAATGAAGATGATGGATCACTCACAGCTGATTGGTGCTTCACGTTGAAGAAACAATTTTATAGACTTGTCTCCCTCGAGCATCACAAATACATCGTGAGTTAGGGGCTCAGTGTCATTTTGAGGACAAGAGCTGTCATCAGGAGAGTTTAAATGAATTGCCCAAGGTCACACAGTGAGTGATAACTTGAGGAAAAATCCCTTATATTTGTAGAGTTGAAGTGGTATTCCCTGGACTGGTAATTAGTTGTTAATAGAAAAACTCAGCTAAAGCATAAAATAACAAACGATGCCTATAAGCATTTCATTTTAACTAAAACATAAAATGTACATTTTTTTCACTGGTGGTTTGATATGGTGCCTTATCTTTTCAGAGGTGATCTGTTGACTTGAGGGCCAACACGGGCTTTCTTGCATAAACCACCACAGAGCTCACTGCCCTCAGGTTGCAGTTTCAGTGTGTTTACAGCGATCAGGAACTTAAAGATGCCTGCAGCGTAGTCTGTGAATGTAACACACTTAGGGAGTTTTCTATTTCCCTCCACATATTTTATTCTTTTCTTGTTTACACCTAATTTGACAGCAGAAGTTTTTAGCTACATGCCTTTATCAAGGTTTTTTTTCCCTCAACACAATTTTGTTTTCTTTTTACACACATACTTCATTGGTTCCCATGATATTTCGTCAATTATGTAATTATAACAACAAGTGTAACTGACAAAATATGTTTGGAAGCAAACACACTGGACTCTCGGCAAGAAATTGGTGGGAATAGAAATAGGCAGAAGTGCTAGAAAATGGCCCACTGGCTCCGAGTGATCAGCATTTCCTGGGCATCAGTTAACACATTAAGCACAGAAGTTGGTTACAGGGAGGTGGGTTCAGAGAGCTTCTGCTGTATAACACTTCACGATGTACAAGGTATTTCTATATCTTCAAAATAACCTTCTAAGGTGGATTGTAGTAACTAAACTTTACATATATGATAACAGCCACCATTTCACGAGTGCTTAGTATTTCACCAGACACCGTGCAAAGCCTTCTATATTCATTATTTCTCTTACTCCTCACAACAATTCTGTGATATGGGCTCAATTTTACTCCAGTTTTATGGGAGTAAACTGATGCCTAGAAATATTAAGCAGCTTGCCTGAGGTTACCCAGCTAGGAAGTGAAGGAGCTAGCCCTCACATGCCAGAATGCTTGACCTCTAAGTTCATGAGGAACCTGGGGCTTGGATAGGTTAAATAACTTGCCCAAACCTTCAGATCTAGTCCTTGAACCCCCAAACCAGAACTTTTTTTCCCTAAGGTAACTGCTCTTAGGGAGGCTTCCTGGGAAGGTTTCTTTCAGGAAGGGATGGGTGGTGTGTAATGGGTGGGGAGCCCCCTGATAACTTCCTTGGTCTCCTATGTTCTCTCTCCAGATTCTGTCCCCCATGGCTAATGGCTTATTCCACAAAGCCATCATGGAGAGTGGGGTGGCCATCATCCCTTACCTGAAGGCCCTCGATGATGAGAGGAATCAGGCTGTAGGTATATTGTTAACACCTCTCCAGCTTCCTCTCTTGGCCAGGAGAGAATGTGGTCAGGTGTCCATAGACCATGTGCTTGGCTGTCCTTACTGACCATGGCCAAAGAGTCTGATGCTGGCCCAAGGTGGACCTGTTGCTCCATGGGAGGCCTGGTTCAATACGAAATGGGTCCAGGTACACAATAAAATACTGCCGGTGTGCACGTATTTGTGCGCGTGTGTGTGCGTGAGTTCCTGTGTATGTGTAAGTGTGTGTGACTGTTCTTACATCTTATTCATTATTCTTTGCCTGTGATGTATAACTCAGTGCCCTGTATTATACGCAGCTCATCTCCTGTACCTAGTCTACTCCACCTAGAGTACTATGATAGGAAGGATTCTGACGCTGTTTGCGGCTCAGTGGGAAATAACACTGTGACTGATTAATGCTGTCTGGCATGGATTGTGAGGGGGAGGTGAGGCATACGCCCCAGATATTCATCATCTGTCATCTTGTCTTCGTGCTCTACCAGCTGGTGAGGACCTGGAGAGCAAGGTCTCTATATCTTTCACATCCCAGCATAATGTCTGGTGTATATTAGGCTACTATGAATGTTTGCTGAATGAATGAGTTAACAAATGGGCTGATTCATTCACTGAGTATTAATTAAGCACTGGGCTGTGGAGCCATCTCCTGGGTATTATTCAGTTGAGTGGTGTATTTTCTTAAACATCTTATAGAAAATAACAACATACACCAAGAGTAGAAACAGAGTTATCATAATGCAAAAATACCCTCACTACACAGGGAGCGTTGATTTTGGTAGTGTGATATATCAAGCTACTTTCAGTTTGTGCATATAGTTATTCATTCACCACTTGCATATTTAGTGCCCATTGCGTTCCCAGCTGTATGTTAGGACCTGTGGGTTTATAAGTGGAGAAGACATATACTAACTTGAGAAGACTATAATCTAACCTGGAATCCATGGCTGTGTTTTGGAGGTGGTCCTTGAACGCCTACAATTGTATGTAGACTCTATATGTTTGTGCATTTTCCCAGGGAGAGGGTTTGTAGCTTTCATTGGATTCTCAGAGCATCTATGACTCCAAGAAGAGTGAAAACCACCTCATTCAAGGGATAAGTTCTGCACATGTGGAAAGTCCAATGACAGGGCAAGATGTTTAGCAAAGGGCTAAGTAGAGAAGGTGGGGATTCTTGGAGTGATGGGAGATTAGAGAAGGAAGGGATTCATAGGGCTGCAGTGGTCTGAAAGGACATCCTGGAGGAAGTGAGACTTGAGCCTTAAAGGATGAGTAGAATTGGTGTAGGGTAGAAAAAAAATTTTGAGGGCATTCCAGGCTGGGGATGGGGGTGAGGCTTGAGCAGAGCTGACAAGCTGAGACTGATCCGGAGTCATGCCTCAAATGACAATGAAGGAGCTTGCAAAGCTGCTCCTCAATCTTGGGGCTCCTGGCTCCATTTAGTGCCCCAGAGTGGGCTTCTGGGCTCTGTGGGACCTAGTACCAATGGATCTAACACCACAGGACTGGTGTCTTCGTGACCAAGAATCTTGACTCCATTCCATGGCTGCAGACTGACAAACCACCTCCCCCAGCTCTGGCGATTACCAAAGATGGCAAGGAAGGTCAGGCAAGAAAGTAACAGTAATGCAGTGCCAACCTGTCCTCCATGTGTACATTCCATCATAGGCACATGGGGGTGGGGATGGGCAACAGGTTGGACTTCATATATGAAGGATCAGCCTGTGGCTGGATCGAAGACTCCTTCCAACTTTCATTTTCCTGGAGGCTTTCAATACTGTGGTCTGACCTGGTCCTTCTCTGGAAATAGTTGCAGGTGATTGCGAATATCTGTGGTTGCAATTCGTCAGACTCCATGGCCCTGCTGCAGTGTCTGAGGGCAAAATCCTCTGAGGAGTTGCTGAGCATCAGCCAGGTGAAGAGGGAGGGCAGAGTTTGGGTGCCCTTTGAATGGGGAGGTAGACAAATCCTACCACTCTCTTATTTATTTTGATTTGGGACTTGGAAAGATGGGGATTGGGGATTTATAGGAATGGCTCCAAAAAAACACTGTGGAACATAGAACGCGTACAGGTAATTTAAGGAACTTGGTGGGCCCGGGGTGCTGCTTCAACTGGAGAAGATCCAGCAAAATATGCGGTTGTCTCTAAGTCATTGAAGACATCTCAGTGGGAAGAGGGACCACACTTGTTCCACAAGCTGCCAGAAGCTGAAGTCAAGATCTCGAGGTGGAATTTCTCTTAGGAAGCCATTTCGGCTTGACATAACCAAGAACTTTCTAAAAACTCAGTTGTCTGAAAGAGGACCAGCTCCTTTAGAGGGCTTGAGATATGCAAGCTGGGTCTAGATGAGCACCAACCAATTTCAATCGCTGGATGATTCATTGGGCTGGATGAGCTTTTATGTCTGTTCCAATCTTGAGAGCCTCTGAGAGTCCTTGAGAGCGTGACATCATTATCTGTCAGATTCCAGCATTTGTTCAATAGTTACTTGGAATGGAGTGAGGATCTGCCGTGAACTGTGCTGGAGTCTGGGAAATGGATAATAAGTCCTTGATCCAATGTAGCATGAAAGCTCTTTTATGTCCTCCCTTCTACCCCCACTCCCAAAATAGAAACCTAAAAAAACCGTAATTATAGCCAGGTGTTGCTTCCTGAGACCCAAGAAATATCCAGCTAGATCCAAGGCACAGTGCCGAGAAAGACATCTCAGGAGGATGCTCGGACCAACCCCCATGACCCTGGCCATCCCCACCCCTCATCACTCTGCCTTGCATTTGGCCAGGGTTTCCATACTGGAGCATGCATCAGACTCACCTGGAGGGCTGGTTAAAACAAGTTTGCTGGGCTGCACCCCCAGAGTTTTGTATCCAGTAGGCCTGGAGTGGGGCCTGAGAATTTGCATTGCTAACAAGTTCCCAGGTGATGCTGATGCTGCTGGCCCAGGAGCCACACTATGAGAACCATTGTGTGAGGCTATTATTTTTCTTAGTAGGGAATATTATTATCCCCATTTAGCAGATGAGGAAACTAAGGCCCAGAAAAATTGAGTCCCTTTGCCTGGGTAAGTGGCAGAGCCGTCCAGGCAGCACTGATGCCTTGGTATGGGCCAACAGTGGCTTATTTTTCCTTAATGCATTTTGTAGAGTGGGTTGGCTCAGCTTGGCTAGGGTTTGGGGACGGCAGATTTTGTGAACAGAAACAGCTGCTGATTTTGCTCTTCTTCCTTACTTCAGAAAACCAAGTCTTTCACTCGAGTGGTTGATGGTTTTATCTTTCCCGAAGAGCCTCTAGAACTATTGACTCAAAAAACATTTAATCCAATTCCTTCTATCATCGGAGTCAATAACCACGAGTGTGGCTTCCTGCTGCCCATGGTAAGAATTCCGGCTGTGCCTCCTGTCGCTCGCTCAGCGCCAAGGCAGCCATTTGCTTCCACAGCTGGGCATTCCCATAGATGACACCAAACATGTGAGGGCTGGAGCCCATCAGCCAAGTACACAGTGATCATATTTCCCATCTCTGAAGGAGGGTAACTGAGGACCGGGGCAGCCACATCAAGTGTCCACCCTGCTCCTCGTAAAGGTTTATAGAGAGAGAAACAACTCTATAAGAAACTAAGAGAGGATGGGGTCCATTTGAGATTTGTTCAAAACATCACAAATGATTATTTCAAATAAGCACAGTTATTACTTCAAAGATGAAATCCATACAGGTTTGGAAAACTTCGGGGCTTTACACTTTCATGTCCAGCCTCGGTTATGGCATTTGACTTTCAAGAACGCTCTCTAAGCTTGTGCAAGTTGCAAAATTATTGAATCGTTGTATTCATTCAACAAGTATGAACTGGGCATTTACTATAAGCCCCACACTCTTATGAAAACTGAGCATTCAACAGTGAACAAGTCACGTGGTGCTGCCCTCTGCAAGCTTACATGATAGTGGGGAGAGACAAACGAAATGCGAGGTTTCCGAGAGTGATACGTTCCAGGAAGGACAGAAACTGGCAGAGAAGGCTTCTTTAGGGAGGAGAGAGGGTGGTCAGGAGAGGCTTCTCTGAGGAGGGATCGTGTGCACTGAGGCTTTAATGCTGAGAAGTAGCCATGATTTCTTGACCGTGGTGTTTGAGAAGACCCTCCCCGTTCGAAATAAACTTTTCATCTGTCCTCAGAAGAGTGAAGTGCTCAGATTCATTATACCATCAGAGCTCATTTGTATAGACCCACCTCCTCCTTTTAAGCTGGGGAAATGAGCTTATGAAATAGAAGTTACAAGACTAGTTGGTGGCCTTCTACAACCAGAACTCTGACTTCATTGGACTATTAAAGACATATCTGCCATAATTAATTTGATTTACAGAGCAATATTTTGGAGTAAGTGGGGATGGAGATTTTTCTCCTCGTGTTGTAAATGAGGCAACTGATCCACAGACTGTGACTTAGGTAAGGCCTTTCAATGCTTTCTGGGTCTGTGTTAGGAAGAAGGCAGGTGCTACTGATGACAACCACTAACCAACCACCACTATGACCCAATAGGCATTATTATCCCATTTTCCAGCTAAAGAAACCGAGGGTCCAAGAGGCTAACATGACTCTCCTGAGTCTTCCAGCCAGTGAGGAGACAGTGGTGTATAAATTTTATGTATTTAGGCTCTGTCTGTAAACGCTGGGTTCTCTGATTACCTCCTGTGTGACCTTAAGTGAGCTGCCTAACCTCTCTGAACCTCTCTGAACGGAGTTGCCTCATCTGAGAAATAGGGCTAATCTCACTACCCACCTCTCTGGTACACATCAAATAGCCTGGCATATAGTAAGTGCTCAGTAAATGTTAGATATTGGAATTATTCAAGTACCAGAATGGGAACTGGTGCCCACGTCTGCATAGCTCAAGAGCCCGCATCACTGCTGATATTCTGTGGGACCTTGCAGTTACACCCATTACTGGCCGTCGGAGACCATAGGAAGTCCCCCAAAACAAACTCCAGCTCCTGAATGTACAGAGAGGGTTCTTAGTAGTGAAAATATACTTGTGGATTATATGAATGAGTGAGACAGATTTTTTTTTTTTTGGTTTATTGTGGTAACATTGGTTTATAATGTATAAATTTCAGGTGTACATCATTATACTTCTATTTCTGCATAGATTACGTCATGTTCACCACCCAAATACTAATTACAATCCATCATCATACACATGTGCCTAATTATGCCTTTCACCCTCCTCCCTCCCCTCTTCCCCTCTGATAACCACCAATCCGATCTCTGTCTCTATATGTTTGTTTGTTTGTTGTTGTTACTATCTATTACTTAATCAGTGAGATCATATGGTGTTTGACCGTCTCCCTCTGACTTATTTCACTTTGCATAAAACCCTCAATGTCCACCCATGTTGTCACAAATGGCTGGATTTCATCGTTTCTTATGGCTGAGTAGTATTCCATTGTGTATATATACCACATCTTCTTTATCTATTCATTCTTTGATGGGCACTTAGGTTGCTTCCAAGTCTTGGCTATTGTGAATAACGCGGCAATGAACACAGGGGTGTGTGTATCTTTACACATTGGCGTTTTCACGTTCTTTGGATAAATACCCAGCAATGGAATATCTGGATCGTATGGTAGTTCTATCCTTAATTTTTTGAGGAATCTCCATACTGTTTTCCATAGTGGCTGCACCAGTTTGCACTGCCACCAGCAGTGTGTGAGTGTTCCCTTCTCTCCACATCCTCTCCAACACTTGTTGTTTCCTGTCTTCTTAATTATAGCCATTCTGACGGGCATGAGGTGATATCTCATTGTAATTTTGATTTGCATTTCCCTGATAATTAATGATGCTGAACATCTTTTCATGTGCCTGTTGGCCATCTATATATCTTCTTTGGAGAAATGTCTGTTCAGGTCTTTTGCCCATTTTTTAATTGGGTTGTTAACTTTTTTCTTTTTGAGATGCATGAGTTCTTTATACATTTTTGAGATTAACCCCTTATCAGATGTATGGTTTCAAATATCTTCTCCCAGTTGTTAGGTTGTCTTTTTGTTTTGTTGATGGTTTCCTTTGCTGTGCATAAGCTTTTTAGTTTGATGTAGTCCCATTTGTTTATTTTTTCTATCATTTCTCTTGCCTGGTCAGACATGGTGCTTGAAAATATGTTGCTAAGACCAATGTCGAAGAGCATACTGCCCATGTTTTCTTCTAGAAGTTTCATTGTTTCAAGTCTTACATTCAAGTCTTTAATCCATTTTGAGTTAATTTTTGTGTATGGTGTAAGGTAACGGTCTATTTTCATTTTTTTTGCATGTGGCTGTCCAGTTTTCCCAACACCATTTGTTGAAGAGACTTTCCTTTCTCCATTGTGTGTTCTTGGCTCCTTTGTTGAAGATTAGCTGTCCATAGATGTGTGGGTTTATTTCTGGGCTTTC